GGGGTTGAAGGGGGTTGGATTAGGGTAAAAATCAAAATTTCAAAAAATCTTCATCAAATTTAAAAAAAAAGATGCGAAAATTTTTTCTGAAAACAGGTAAAATTTCGAGAGTAAATGGGCTGCAATAATTATTACGCCTTCTTCAGTGGAAATTCCCCTGGCCACCTGATAACACCAATTCCGGTTTAATTTTTTTGGAAACTAGAAAAAACCGGCTAGAGCTATAAAACCACGATTACCGGGATTATCGGACTGACTTTTATCAAATAATTACAACTGGTATGTGAAAACCATAAAAAACGTTATTCCACTTTCGTCATCGCACTTGATGTGCCCCTTCTCCGAACCCGAGAACAAATTAGTTTCAATTCCCGGAAAGAATCGTGAATCGGAGATGAATCTGCGTGACAAATCAATTTCAATTAATCAACAATAACTTCATCAGCATGATGAAACGCAATATGAATTGTTATTCTGCTGACTTTGAGGTTAGTATCGGAAACTGCATGAACACAAACAATTCCGGGTATTTTAAGAGATAAAAAATTATTCTACTTACTCAGATCGATGATAGCGTCACAGATCCGCTAATTCCGATCAATTCTTCGATTGATAAATAATGATAACAGCTTTTTCTCTGTCAAAGTTCAGTCATCCTTGGTCATCCACGATTTTCGTACGTTTTCTGTGCATTTGTTTTTGATTCTACCCCTTTAAATATCATTTTCGATATCACCGACAGCGCATCCAACAGGAATCGCCCCTATCGACAACTTCCCGCCAAAAATCGGGCGGGAAATTCAAGTTTTTCCAGGGAATAATTCAATTTTTCTGAAATGTCGAAACAAGTAGCTGCTGTGGGGGGTCTAAATCGACCCCATTCGACAGATCATGAAACATCTGGGGAATTCATCCCGGACTCCCCAACCGATTCATCCCAAAATAAATTAACCCCACGATAATTTCATCCTAAACATTAAATTCCAATGGAATTTTTCACGGTCACAACAATAATTCAGGGAGAGAAAAATATTAACTTCATTTTCACAGAAAAAGGCACTAAACAGAGCATCAAAATCAATCAGATACTTCACGATTCCTTCCTAGTATTATTTACACAACCGATCAACGGATTAACAGAAAACATTGCAAAAAAACGATCAAATCATCCTTATCCCTCTCAACCAACAGTCGCCAGATAGGCCACAAGTAATAGACCACAGCATCAATTTACAAAATCACTACAAAACTTGAAAATTAATCCGATAAGTCACGCGCTCCCCATTTTGCCCCGTAAACAAGACACTCCGAGCCCTTCCACAGATTTTCCATAAATTTACTTTATTCATCATCATCTCATACAAAACGAATCATCACAATAGCTTCTCGAATATTCATAGGACATTGGAAAAGTAAGAAAATGGCAATCACTGGAATTTATTGTTGCGAAAGTTTAAAACACATACTAACGAAGTTGAAAAAAAAAATGACATCAACTTTCGTAAATTCTTCTTTTTCATGGCTATCTCGATAACTCGGAGACCTAGAAGAATGAGTCTAGTCTCATATGAAAGCCAGGGAAATTTTCGATCGAAACTTTCACATGGCGACCCATTATTCATTATTATTCAATTTGCCCCATTAAGCAATTGAATACACAGAAAAAAAGTTAAAAATTTTGAGCTCAAAACATGTTTTAGTAATATCTAGGGAAATTAGAGAGCTAGTTACGAATGTTAACCCCTCCAGAGCCTCGAGATAGCCTCAAAAAACAGGGGAATGAATTTTCAAAAATTTGATTTTATTCCTTCGTCCAACTTCACGAACAAATATAGATAATCAATGAATTATCTTATTGTCATTGACATTGTTAACTAGCCAAGAGCCTCTTCTGAAGTGGTACATCACTGTCAGAGTCACTCTGGCAGCTCTGACTGCCCCCCGGCCCCTCATCATCAGACTTATCCTCTTCCTTGATTGTCACATGGACAAAGTCACCAATTTTCTCGTTAACTCTCCGCCTCTTCTGTGGCCTGCGTCCCGTCAATTTTGGTATGTACTTGTCAACAGTTGGCTTGACCCTCCTGATATCGAAGTCCTGATCGATCTTGGTGATGGTCTGGAGTCGTTGCTCCTCGGATGTGACGTATAGATCGTCAGGTTGGTGATAGCTGTTGTGTACTTCGTAAGCTTTCTTGCTGCAGAAGAGGGCGGCACACATGGTGCACTTTATGAGATCATCTGGAACCCGTTCTCGCTCTTCCTGTGATGAACATAGGGAAAACGATTTCACCAATCGATTGGGAGGAAAATTTCCGGTGAAAATGTCTCATTGACGACTGCTCTAGCTCTTTTAGTTCTCGAGTTATTGAAGAAAACGTGAAAAAACACTAGGAAATCACTAGACAGTGGGGAAAGTTACTAGAAATACGTATATACAAAAAAATTCCCTAGAATTTAAAAATCCTTGTAAAAACTCCCGAAGACATTTGTAACCTTTTTGGACCCTTAAGTTCCCAATTTACCATGGAAAAAGCGAAAAACCCTAGGAAATCCCTAGAATATTGTTAAAATCACTAGAAAGTAATAGATACTAGAATGTCACTAGAAGATAGATTCAAAACAGCATGAAACGTTCTAAAAAAATCCCTGAAAATGAGAAACCACTGAAAACTGGAAAAAACTACTAGAAAGTGTAAAAAATCACTAGAAAACGTAAAAATTCCCTAGAAAGTCGCGAAAAATTACTAAAAAATCCCTAGATCCTTAAAATTGTTCTGGAACCTTCTGGGGACATTTTTGACCTTGGAACAATTTTCGTCAATATCTCGAAAATTTGAAGAGATAAAAGGGTTCAAGACCAGTGTTTTTAACCGGAAATTTTCCTGGCTACACGATAAAACAGCTCAAATAATTTTATCATCATTATTTACCCGCGTGTGAACTTTCTCGAGGTGCTGCTGGAGATTGAATTTCACGATGTACTCGACACCACAAATGTGACAGTAGTAGACACTCAATGCATCGTTCATCGAATTCACCTTGATCTTGTTGCTGGGAGGGGGAGTGGCTATAGGTTGAAAAATATGTACCAGTCTGAAATGAAAGAAAAAAAAATAGTACATGTCCCTAGAATTTCCAGAGGACAAAATTCTTGTCGTTTTCAAATTAAAAAAAAAATACCTTTTGTGAATCGATCGGTAGTGATAGTTGAGTGCCTTTAGATTGTAGAAAACTATATCACATTCTTCACATTTCTTATGATTAGAGGTATTTTTACTCTCCTCAGGATTGTGAGTGGTCATGTGGTTGTCTCGGTGAGTCTAAAATTAGTTATTATAATGTGAAATTGAATGGAGAAAATTAATTCAAATGCGGAGGGCTGGAAATTTTTATTTTGGAGGGCTCATTCACCTTCAAAGGGAACTGTTTCCCACAGTAACTGCAGTAGAATTTAGCTGGTGAGTTCGGATGCATCTTGAATCTGTGACGAATTGTCGCTGTGATGGATTCAAATGTCTTTCCACAAATGTCACATAATTCATCTGTTTTATTCGGCTTCTTCTGTATTTTTCTTCCCTGGGGCTTGCCCCGTCCATCAATCTCCTTATTAGCATGTTTTCTGGATTCAATTTTCAACAGAAATTCTGCATTTAATGACAAATTTTCAATTCTAGCAATTATTTTAATTTTTTCAATTCTATTCAATTTCGATTCAATTTGTTTATTTGTCACTTCAGGCAAGGGCCCATCGAAGCCTAAAAAAGTCATACATAAAAATACCTATTATACATCAATCACCTCACTTATTCAGATATAAAACATCATTTTTAAAAAATAAAAAACAAAAATAATAAAAAATTGGGAAATTGTTTTTTCGTTTTTTAATAATATCTCGGGAACCTGAAGAGATAAGGAGTTGAAACGAATTTCATTCGAAAGCCAGGAAAATTTCCGATGAAATTCACTTGTGTTGAACCCCTTCATCTTTCCAATTTTTCAAAATATCGAAGCAAATCAATTTAAATCTTAAAATCTTATTTTTTACGTCACTTTAATGATTTTGAGGCGAAATAAATTCATCAGCAGTGGTTGGAATCGGAAATTTTTCTGCGCACACAATGGGGTCATTTTCGACCCCTAATATTCCGTAATTCCTCCAATAAATCGTCCTTTTGTGAATTGTGGTAAATTTCAACGGTTAAGTGTTGACAAATTTTAATAATGATGAACTGTGACTCTTGCTTCATGTTCATAAATTTTTTATCATTACCTGAAGTGCTCCTGGAGTGCCTCCTTGCTCTCCAGTTCAGCCTCACACAATACGCATTTGTGCTCCACGGTGATGATTTTTTTATTCAACTTTTGACAGTCAGACTCTACCCAAACCTGACAAAACATCACATCATAGCTATCAAATTGGTTTTACGGCCTAATCCCCCTCATATTGATGATTATTCCACGTTCAAGTATCACAGAAGACATATGGGGAATTGAATAAACCGAAAGAGTGGAAAAATCACTGAAGAAGTGTTAAAAAAAATTTTTTTTTTGAATTCCCAATTGTGCGATGGATATTGTTGTGTATTGGGAAATCAATCGTCCGCCATTTTGATTTATGGCAGGTGACTCCCTCTTGAAGTGAACTATCCGTTCGCGCCATTTTATTTGAATCGCTCTCCCCAAGGGAAGTAAAAAAAAATGGAGATACACCTTTTTGATTAAAAAATAATTTTGCTAATCTTGCATTAATGTCTGCTTACCCACATGGAAAAAAATATCTCAAATTAATAATACTAATATCTTAAATTGGCTCAATTTATATAAAAAAAATATGAAACATATATTTTATATATTTTTCAAAATGATTTCTAAAGAATATATTAAAAAAATGAAAAATACTTTAATTATTTTTACAAAAAAAAATATTAAAAATTGTTCAATTTTTTTTTATATAATCTTTATTAATTTGATAAATATATAGAATTGGCCCATATTATATATTTTTTGATGGGGGTAATATGTTACCACCAGAAGTCCCCAAATACTGTGCTAGGATACTGAGTCCAGATAGAAACTATCCGATAGATCATTAATTGAATAGACGCAGACACCGGTGAATTAAATAGCCACTGTCATTTAATCACCACAATAATTAACTAGGTTAAATTAGTATTCCCGTTGAAACTCGTTATAAATACAAATAGTGAGAATTATCTAGCCCCGTTAATGACTAGTAGCGGCCTGCATACACTCAACGTGAGCCCTCAACGAATGCACAATGAATACTGAATAAATCATAGAAATGCGACGCTAACGCTTGATCGCGTCGATAACTCAATTAGCAAGTTTCGGAAACATAAATAAATAAATAGATGAATCATTGAATCTGATTGAATCGTCAAGTTAAAAACGAGAAAATCCCGTGTTGAAATGAAACAACATAATCCCCATAAATGATCAAGAAAATCGTTCGAATAACTGGAAAGATCGATCACCTGTTCTTCCAGTAGATGTCGCCTGTTCCCACTTCATCATCAACAATTGCCAGTGCATCACGAGCCCCTCGGCACTTCAGGTGTCCGTTCCCACGTATTCCGTAACCCCCGGGCTCCCCAGCCCTCGACAAGTGCAAAATCACCCCCAACCCCTGCACCGGAGTCTCTGATCCCTCGGAGAACTCCCGAAAACGATAAATTATCTCCCAAAATCGGGGATCGGTGGTTCATTCGCTCTCTGAGTGGAGCCCGACGAATGTTCCCACGCTCTCATTGTCATGTAACTGTGTGTTGGGTACGTACGTGTGAAATTCCATAGTGAAGATGAACGCACAGGGACAACACGTACAGGAGCACGGGCATGCTGTTGTTGTGTGGGAGTGGGAGAATAGACAGGGTAGATGGAGACCCTACAGTCCCGCTGTTTCGCAGCATCTCGAGCGTGCACATTTCAAGAAATTAACGAGGGTGTTTCTCAATGATGCGGATACAACACTTGACAGGTAATTAGGAGTTTCGAATAAGATGAGCCTATTTTTTTTAGGAATTCTCGGGTTGAAGATAACTCTTCATCTCAAAAGATGATTTTTTTAGATAATCCGTTTGAAAATTATTTTTTATTTGCGGGAGAAATTTTTGATAACAAACTAGTTTGAGATAATTTTTCAGATATTTTTGAGTTCGAGATAATGTGAGATAATTTTTTGCTGTGGGAATTCGTGAAAATTACTCCTAATTTGGGGTTGCAGATTCTTTTTCATCTAAAAAATGATGTTTTTTAAGCAGATTATTTTTTAGATGACTTTCAGTGCGAGATGAAATTTTTATTTTGGTGAAAAAATTCTTGTCTAGGAAATTTTTGAAGATAATTTTCTGTCTGGGGTGAGATATTTTTTTATCCTCGTGAATATTTTCAAGATAATTTTTTTTCGATGTTCTATTTCCTTTTTTGAAAATAATTTTGAACTTTCTTTACATGTTTTCCCCACAAATGTTCAAGTATTTCATTTTTTTTTTCATGTGACAATACACTAATTTCCGATCTAGATGTTTATCTCGAAAATCACACGTCATCCGAATACTCCTCATTATGTTACAATATCTGAATGTTCGATATAGACTTGAACTTGAACTTGATTTGTCCTTCAGGTACTACATAAACCTGAAGACAAAGACCCAGTGCAGCGACGATGGCGAGGAGATTCACAGTGTCAGACGTAAGTTCTACCTGCCAGGCTCGCCAGCTGGAAAAGGTGCCAAATGGGAGTGGGCGGGTGACACTGATGACTGGCACACGTACGACATGGAGGTCCAGTGCCTCATCGAAGAGGCTTGGGCAACGGTAATCACCATTCCCCCCCTCATCACCATGAAACTTCAAATTTCATCCTGACGATGAGAAAAAAGATCCTCCGCCTCCTAAAATTCTGAAGTCACGACGAAAATAAATGTACATTTTTCTTCTCAACAGGGAAACAAAACCATTGATGTCTCGAAAACCTACTTGGGCTTCCCCTACATAATAAACTTCTGCAACCTAACCCAAGTGCGCTGCTGCACCGGGTATGTGCGACCTATACGTCGGGTGCAACAAGCACCATATCCTCTAGTCAAGGTCACCCTCGATGAGCTGCACTATGCGACTGGCAGGCGTGCCTTACCTCCGCCGAATGTCAAGAACACCAGCACCAAGAATGCGTTGAAGAAGCCGCCTTGTGGCAGCTCTAAAAAAACTTCCAAAAAGGTGGAAAAAAATAGAAAAATAAAAAATATTGTAACGTCTCGCACACCTTAATATACGAACACACCCAAATCGAATCTATCGCAAACATATTCAAGAATATTGACAACTCTGTCACAAGTGCATTCCCAACATCAAAACGAGAGCCATTCATACAACAGAATGAAGTCTTTCGGGTCCTTCAGTTTTTCAGTTTACAGTTTCAAGATTTCAAATTATACGGTTTGATTGACCCATTTATCATTTCAGTAGTGAAGTGGTAGATCGGTATAAGTCTATTTTGACTATTGCCCAGTTTTCAATGAATATCTCAAAATCTAAGGGAAATAGCAAAACTTTTGTCATAACCTTTTTTGTAGAGCAAATTGAGAGCTACAAAAAAGGAAATCACAACAAATTCGCTATTTCCTTTAGATTCCAAGATATTTATTGAAAACTGGCCAATAGTCAAAATCGACTTATACCGGTTCACCACTTCGCTACTGATTTATGACTTCATTCGTATTTCTTTTTGATTCGTATTGCTTTCTTCCATTTTCTTCAATTATTTTTGGGATTGCGCAGATAGCAATGACTTTTATGACTTTTCATTCGTATTTCTTTTTGATTCGTATTGTTTTCTTCCATTTTCTTCAATTATTTTTGGGATTACGCAGATAGTAATGACTTTTATAACTTTTCATTCGTATTTCTTTTTGATTCGTATGGCTTTCTTCCATTTTCTTCAATTATTTTTGGGATTGCGCAGATAGTAATGACTTTTATGACTTTTCATTCGTATTGCTTTCTTCCATTTTCTTCACTTATTTTTGGGATTGCGCAGATAGTAATGACTTTTATGACTTTTCATTCGTATTGCTTTCTTCCATTTTCTTCACTTATTTTTGGGATTGCGCAGATAGTAATGACTTTTATGACTTTTCATTCGTATTGCTTTCTTCCATTTTCTTCACTTATTTTTGGGATTGCGCAGATAGTAATGACTTTTATGACTTTTCATTCGTATTGCTTTCTTCCATTTTCTTCACTTATTTTTGGGATTGCGCAGATAGTAATGACTTTTATGACTTTTCATTCGTATTGCTTTCTTCCATTTTCTTCAATTATTTTTGGGATTGCGCAGATAGTAATGACTTTTATGACTTTTCATTCGTATTTCTTTTTGATTCGTATTGCTTTCTTCCATTTTCTTCAATTATTTTTGGGATTGCGAAGATAGTAATGACTTTTATGACTTTTCATTCGTATTTCTTTTTGATTCGTATTGCTTTCTTCCATTTTCTTCAATTATTTTTGGGATTGCTTAGATAGTAATGACGCTTGGGGTCATAAAAGCTGCTCATTGTTTTCAGAGTAAAAGCAGTGAAAATAGCCCCGCCAACATAGCCCGAGTGATCCTCAGCAACTTCAACATCTTCGGGACCAAGAGCTCCATGGAGCCAGCCCCCATAACGTCAAACGAGTCCTCCCAGAAGCGCAAGAACTGGGACAGTGTCTTGGACGCCGACTCCAGCAGCACCAAGAGCGGTCGTCGTCCAAGTGTCGACACAGTCTCCACTTACCTGAGCCACGAGAACCCTGTTGACCTCCTGGACAGCAGCATCGGGAGTGACGAGGCCTTCAAGGATCCCGCGGACATGCAGATGCACTCGGACGTCATCTCGCAGTACGTCAAAGTGGTGGAGAGCGATGGAACGGACTCGTGTCCTGTTTGTCTGGGTACCCCAGAGCCTCTGACCGTGGAACTCACCCGCTGCCATCATCGGCTGCATCTCGCCTGCCTCAATGCGATGCTGAGCTCCCAGCAGCATCCCATGTACATTCAGTGCCCTGTCTGTCGTATGATCTATGGGGAGAAACGAGGGAATCAGCCCCCGGGGTCCATGAACTGGACGAGGATACCTAGGGCTCTTCCTGGCTTCCCTCACACCCACACCATCCAGATTACTTATGAGTAAGTAGGAGAATGAGGGGCGCGAGAAAATCGAGAGTGGTTGCACTGGACACAGCGTAAAATTTACCGACAAATTGAAAAAAAAATCATCTCTCTAGCTGTTCTAGTTCTCGAGTTATTGAAGAAAACGTAAAAAATCACTAGGATTTACCCAAAAACGGAAAAATTCACTAGAATCGCTTGGAAACGGCAAAAGTCCCTAGAAAAGTATCCAAAAATGCAAAAAATCCCTAGAAAGTTACTAGAACTTGAAAAATGGTCTAAAATTTTCCCTGAGCTATTTTGACTTTGAAATTATTTTCTTCAGTAACTCTCGATGTTGAGGAGATAAAAGTGCTTGTGACCAGTGTTTTGAACCGCAAATTTCCCCAGCTATCGATTGCGATCGGCGCCATTCTCCTGCCACCTGTATTTCTTCCTAGAAAACGTAAAAATCCCTAGAATATCACCAAATACTAAGAAATCCACCAGAATATTTCTAGAAAACGTAGAAAGTCCCTAGAATATTACCAAATACTACGAAATCCACCAGAATATTTCTAGAAAACGTAAAAAATCCCTAGAAACTCCCTAGAATCTAAAAATTGTCTAGAACTTCCCTGGACCGATTTCGACCTTGAGCATATTTTCCCCCATAACTCGAGAAGTAGTGAAGATTGAAGGGCTTATGACCAGTGTTTTGAACCGGAAATTTCCCTAGCTATCGATTGCGATCGGCACCATTCTCCTGCCACCTGTATTTCTTCCTAGAAAACGTAAAAATCCCTAGAATATCGCCAAATACTAAGAAATCCACCAGAATATTTCTAGAAAACGTAAAAAAATCCCTAGAAAGTCCCTAGGACCTAAAAATTGTCTAGAACTTCCCTGGACCGATTTCGACCTTGAGCATATTTTCCCCCATAACTCGAGAAGTAGTGAAGATTGAAGGGCTTATGACCAGTGTTTTGAACCGGAAATTTCCCTAGCTATCGATTGCGATCGGCACCATTCTCCTGCCACCTGTATTTCTTCCTAGAAAACGTAAAAATCCCTAGAATATCACCAAATACTAAGAAATCCACCAGAATATTTCTAGAAAACGTAAAAAATCCCTAGAAAGTCCCTAGGACCAAACAATTGTCTAGAATTTCCCTGGACCGATTTCGACCTTGAGCATATTTTCCCCCATAACTCGACAGGTAGTGAAGATTAAAGGGCTTATGACCAGTGTTTTGAACCGGAAATTTCCCTAGCTATCGATTGCGATCGGCACCATTCTCCTGCCACCTGTATTTCTTCCTAGAAAACGTAAAAATCCCTAGAATATCACCAAATACTAAGAAATCCACCAGAATATTTCTAGAAAACGTAAAAAATCCCTAGAAAGTCCCTAGGACCAAACAATTGTCTAGAATTTCCCTGGACCGATTTCGACCTTGAGCATATTTTCCCCCATAACTCGACAGGTAGTGAAGATTAAAGGGCTTATGACCAGTGTTTTGAACCGGAAATTTCCCTAGCTATCGATTGCGATCGGCACCATTCTCCTGCCACCTGTATTTCTTCCTAGAAAACGTAAAAATCCCTAGAATATCGCCAAATACTAAGAAATCCACCAGAATATTTCTAGAAAACGTAAAAAAATCCCTAGAAAGTCCCTAGGACCTAAAAATTGTCTAGAACTTCCCTGGACCGATTTCGACCTTGAGCATATTTTCCCCCATAACTCGAGAAGTAGTGAAGATTGAAGGGCTTATGACTAGTGTTTTGAACCGGAAATTTCCCCAGCTGTCGGCCAAGCCCCGTATGAACCCCATTTTCTCATTTTTTTCCAGTATTCCATCTGGGATTCAGGGCCCCGAGCACCCGAACCCAGGCCAGACATTCTATGCCGTGGGCTTCCCCCGTGTCTGCTATCTCCCCGATAACGACCTTGGCCGCAGGGTCCTCAGGCTCCTCCAGATAGCCTTCGAACGACGTCTCATCTTCACCATCGGCAGATCGGTGACAACCGGTCGTGAGGACGTCGTCACCTGGAACGAGATTCACCACAAAACCGAGCTCGGACCGTCGACCTCGGGGCATGGATACCCAGACGTCAGCTATCTGGAGAGGACCCTATCAGAGCTGGCGGCTCAGGGCATCACCGATGGACAATCCACATCGCATTATCAAGAGCTGCGTTAGGCCTTCATTACCTCAGATATATATTTCAAGTTCTGAAGGAGCAGTGGAACATAAGACATAAAGTATTATATAATGGAAAAATATTAATTGAGAGAAACAATTGGCAATACTGATTAATTACAGACGTCAGCAAGGAACTGATAGACTTTAATAACTCTCTTGCTTTCGGTTCATGTCCTCCGGTAATTGAAGAGAACTTTTTTCACTAGATGAGAGGAGACAAAATTATTTTCGTGTTCATTTTTATTATTTTATCGGCGTAGGATAGAGAGACATATGCTCAGATTGTTTAATTCTACAGATATATATATAGAATTATAGGCGAATGAAGTATAAATATTTTGTAAGGTTCATATTTTAAAATAAATTTTTATAGAAAATTATTAATAATTTAATTTAGAATTTTTCTTTTTTCCCTTGGGGTCGGGCACGTCTTCAGGAGAAGCGACATCTCTTTCCTCCACGAGTAGAAATCTGCAGAAAGTTATCTCTAAGATGGAAAATTCATATTTAGACTATCTAGTAGAAGTTTATCCTTCCGAGTGTACCCCCACTCTACGGAAATCCCACTCACATGCTTGGACCCCACCCCAAAAATCCACGAATATTCTCCTGGAAGATAACCTATACTAATCTCTGTCCAAAAGATATCACTAGCGAGCTAGCAGATAACTTTTCGAAGGATATCTGCTTGCTATCTATAGCTTACCGATATAGCAGCAGATAACTTTTCAAAAACGATATCTCTTGGACATACATTAGTAGGGGAGGTGGGGGTAAAACGGATACTTTTGACTTTTCTTAAAATGTTAATGAGGGGTTGAAATGTTGATAAAATTTGATAATTTTTTTTTTTCAATACAAAGAACAATTCTTTCCGTTTGTGACGAGTCTAAACTGAGCTCAATTGATCAATTTCGACGTCTCCTAAAACAAAAGACGTAACTCCTATGTTTAAGCATAGGAGTTACGTCTTTTCTTTTAGGACACGTCGATTTGTTTCTGAGCAAAAACAAAATTTGCTCAGAAACAAAAAATGAATTTGTTTTTGTTTGTTTTATTTTTGAATAATTTTAAAAAATTCCAGTGTCCGTTTTACCCCCTCCACCCCTATATGAATTTTTATCTTAGAGATAACTCTCTGCAGATTTCTAATTGGGTCCATTCATTCTGTCGCTCATTGTGAATCACGTAAAATCGTGGGCCCGAGGGCAGCCATATTGGATAGCTGACGTTGGGCGCTGCGCGTGGAACGTCTGGTTGCGCGTAGTGGGGTGAGAAACAGTCGGGAATTGTCGGTGGAGGGTCAGGGGGCGGTAGATAGAACATCAGCGGCGAGTTCAAAATCCTCCGCGGTGATGGGACAATAGGATTTTGGGTATTTGATTGTTGACGTAGTTGTGATTTTTTAGGGGAATTGGTAGTGGGGAGATCCCCATTTCGTGGCAGAGGCCGCCATTTTGTTGAGAGTGACGGTGAGAAGGATTTAATCAATGATGATGCTAAAATGACACTGAATGGCTGATGATAAAAAGTCAAGATGATTTTCTGAGACAAAAAATTATGGAAATTCCATCGATACCGAGACAAAAGCTGCCATTTTTTGCAATAGTTGCCATTTTGTTGCAATAGTCGCCATTTTGTTGCATAAGCCGCCATATTGTTGATAATAAAATCGGCGAAAAAGGATTGGGCCAAGGACATGGAGAAGGATTTCTGAAGAAAAATATCGGACTATTTTTGTTGACACCGCCATTTTGGGGAGAAAAATTGGAGCGAAAACAGTCGGTGGCAGCGAGTCGAGACGTGTTCATCTCTTTGTTAATGAACCATTCGCTTTATCCTGACATTTTTCGAGGATTCTGGGACACTCTTGGTGTTTCAAGAGTTGCGATAGTGCGGGGGGAATGTGCAAGTGTTTGTGAAGTGCTGGAGACAATGGAAAAAACAAAATTCCTCGATTTTTCGTTGTGTTTACGTCGAGTCAGTGCGCGAGTTGTTATTCATTCTGTTTTAGAGTCTCTTTGTTGATGTTTGCGGGGGGGGGATGTTGTGGTGAGTNGGGATGTTGTGGTGAGTGTTAGTGCAACCAGGAGAGGATGTGACGAGGATAACCTTAGGGTCGACTTCCTGGAGACGATGTCTAGGTGGAGGGGTGCTCCAACCAACGGTAAATAGCCAGCAACTACTCCTTGACACTTTTGTCTCATGAAAAAAAATTTTCACATTAAATTTCTCTCCTGTTTTGGTTTTAGGTGATCATCGGAGTGGAGTGCCTCCAGCACCGGTGAGTTTTTAAAAAATCCGAGTATAAATTTTCATTCAAAATGACTCGATAAATTTTATTCATCCATTGTTTACCCGAAAAATTCCGGAGAATTAGAAATTTTTGAGGTTTAAATTTTTTTCTCGTGAACATTGAGTGAGAAAGGCCACTGTTCACGCTCGTGAACAACCGAAATATATTTTTGAATTTCCACGAATGGAAAGAGTGTCGTGTTCGTTGAAAATCCAACCGCAAGTTGTTCATCTATCTCTCTCATCCAAGTAAGTACTGAATTTCTCGACAATTTACCTCCAATCGTGTCCGCTGACGGGCGGAAATGACCCAATGATAATTAGCCACCGTCAGCAGACATGAAGTGACAACTTGAAATACCCCAAAGCACTCGTTATAATAATTTACCTTCGATAAGTCCCAAGGACACACCAAGTTGGAGCTCAAGTATAGTGTACATGTGTGACTGGAGTGTCATTAATGTTGTGACGTGTACTACACACATTTTTCATGATTTTACGATTGTAATTGGGCGTTTATAGTAGATATTAGAGGCTTGTTTCGTCCACAGGGCAATAGGTAAATGTCCAGGATTTTTTTAAAGTTATTTTAGACAGATTGTGGAGCAGGAAAGACAGGTTAACTCGAGGCAGCATTTTATTGCTCTTCGCTTGGAGGCTTTTATCTCTCTCGTGGAGCTGATAAGATGTGGCTTGTACATGAGGCAACATGAGGGCCTCAGGTTGATGCACATAACCTCCAAGTTAACCTGATTTTTTCAGCGATTTTTTCCTCTGGTTTTGGGGGTGAGTTGATGGTGCAGGTGGTAATCAGGTGATTCTCGGTATTTCAGGAGCTAAAATGATGCAGGATGAGGATCTCGGGGGTCCTGCTAGGAAAAATGTATTTTTCCAGGGCGCGACGAGGCTGTCACAGGTGGGAATCTCATAGTCAGGGATGGGTTGAGGATGTTCAAGTAGTTTTGACAATTTTGATGATCTACAAATCTCAATATCTCTGCTCCAATCGTTTCGAATTTGTTTGAGATTTATTTGGAGGGAGATTCATTATCTGTAAATTTTTTAGAAATGACGCGAAACTACTTTAATATCTTCAATTTAGTAGAGAAGTGGTAAAATGGTGCAAGTCAATTTTGACTGCTGACCAGTTTTCAATGAATATCTCGGAATCTAAGGGAGATAGCGAAATTTTTGTTATAACCTATTTTGTAGAGCCGATTGAGAGCTACAACAAGTGTGATGACGAAAATTTCGGTATCTCCCTTAGATTCGGAGATATTCCTGAAAAACTCAACTGGGAGATGAGTCGACTTAAACCGATTGACCACTTCACTACTGAATTAAGATAATAATTTGAACCTCAAGGCCGATTATTATGTTAATTATTTTTCTAAATATTCATGACTCAGTCTGGGCTCATTACAAAGAATTAATTAAACAAGAATTCAGGAGCGAAGTGGTAAAAGGTACAAGTCAATTTTGACTGCTGACCGGTTTTTAATGAATATCTCGGAATCTAAGGGATATAGCGAAGTTTTTGTTATAACCTTTTTTGTAGAGCCGATTGAGAGCTACAACAAGTGTGATGACGAAAATTTCGGTATCTCCCTTAGGATTCGGAGATATTCCTCAAAAACTCAACTGGGAGATGAGTCGACTTAAACCGATTGACCACTTCACTACTGAATTAAGATAATAATTTGGACCTCGAGGTCGATTATTATGTTAATTATTTTTCAAAATATTCATGACTCAGTCTGGGCTCATTACAAAGAATTAATTAAACAAGAATTCAGGAGCGAAGTGGTAAAAGGTACAAGTCAATTTTAACTGTCGACCAGTTTTCAATGAATATCTCGGAATCTAAGGGAGATAGCGAAATTTTTGTTACAACCTTTTTTGTAGAGCCGATTGAGAGCTACAACAAATGTGATCACAACAATTTCGCTCTCTCCCTTAGATTCGGAGATATTCCTGAAAAACTCAACTGGGAGGCAAGTCCACTTTTTACCACTTCGCTACTGAATTATGAATTTACGATAGAATTATTAATAATGAATTTATTTATTATAGATGTATCAGAGTTACCTAGATCTATGGACACCTCACGTCATATCGAGATGGATATTCTCAGTTGCACTTTTAGTTACATTTGTATTACGTATCTTCATCTCACAGGTGAAATGAACAATTCGAGGGGATTTTAATCCTTCAAATGTGTTTGCTAATTGATTATATGTTCTAGGGTTGGTACATTATTATATATGGGCTGGGGATATACCATCTGAATCTGTTCATAGCATTCCTTACACCGAGGAGCGATCCAGCGATGGATTTCGATGGTAAAATCGTGGGCTAAAAGTAGTCGTGGATGAGTCATCTCTCACATTTCGATAAATCTTGAATTATCTCGACAATGCCAGACATTACGAGAAAATGTCACAGAACCTTTTTCGTTGGAAATTTAATTCTCTACAAAAAAGTTGTTCTGACATTTTGCCTTAAATCCACTTGTTGGCGAGATAATTTCAAAAATTTCAGAGAAAATCGAAGAGAATGTGGAGAATGACTCATTTCACTCCTCCCTTTTGGCGTTTCTCTAGGGGAATCAACACTTCCATTCGAAAAAAAATCTAGTGTCGTATTTTTTAGATGCCGACGGCCCGGAACTCCCCACAAGATCGAACGAGGAATTCCGGCCGTTCATCAGACGACTACCCGAATTTAAATTCTGGTATTCTGTATCAAAATCCACAGTGATTGCTCTTGTGTGCACTATGTTCAATTGCCTCAATATTCCAGTCTTTTGGCCCATTCTCGTCATGTACTTCATTACATTGTTTTGCATTACGATGAAACGTCAGATTAAGGTAAAAAAAAACGATTTTTTTTATTTTAAATTTATTTATTTTTCACTTTGTGCCATAGCAATTCTATCGAATGTTGAGGATAAAGTGTACAAGGCTCAGAAGAATCATGAACAGACAACCATTAATTTTCTACAAAAATTTTGCAAAAATTAATAATTAAAAATCGAATTTTGCAATTTTTTTTGACAAAAAAATTTGCAAAATTCGATTTTTAATTATTATTCTTTTTTCATTTACGTAAAAATAATTTCCTTCTTCAAATTGCTCAAGAAGAAATGTCCGAATTGTTGAAAAGATTAGAATTGTTATGGTGTTAATGTATAATTATATTGAGAAATTAAAAAAATTATAATTGAAGACTTCTCTTTCAAAAAGAATAATGAATTTCTCTTTATTTTCAGCATATGATTAAGTACAGATATTTGCCATTTACCCATGGCAAACCCAGGTACCAAAACCACGACGACACGTCGAGATTAACATCAGCAATTCATTAATTATATTTATGAGTAATTAAAGGGGATGATAAAAATTGAAAGAATAAAAAGAAGAAAAATCAAGATTGTATGTTCGTCCGATTGAAAGTGTGTAAATGTGTAGATTTGATTGATTGATTGATTATTTAACATGTAAACAATTGAGACATTTAGTTTCTTTTTTTTTTCGTTGAAATACAGGTGAGTGAGCTCTGAAAGTAATTATGCGATTGAATTAAAATTATTATTATTAAAATTTCCAGGCGTTTGTTTTTTCTCTCGATTTTTGCTTTTTGCTTCTGAATGGAAGCTCTGTAATCTCACGATTTTCAGACAGTGGAGTAACTAAGTTGCTTAAGTTATTCCAAAAATCTGAAATTTTGTAATATTATAAGTCTTAGGGGAAGGCTCACCCCGGGAAAAAAACTTTTTCGTTTTTCGAGAAAAAAAATTGAAAAATACCATTTTCCGCGCGATTTTTCCTCGGGAATCTGATTTTGTAGGTCATAATTATCTCTTGCCACTCAAAAGTGGAGAATCGGAATTGACTAGTGAATTTCAAAATTCCACGGAAGACATTCATTTTTTCATGACACAATATTGATTATTCATCAACGTTTAGGCAAGACGATGGGAATTTAGGCATGAAGGGAGGAATCAAAATTATGTCAGTATTTTCTCAGTCGTGCATAAAGGGTTGTTATGCAGTGAGTGTGAAAAAATGGGTTTCCCACGAGCCAAAACACACTTTTCCGCACTTGTATCTAAATATACTATATCAATATAGGTATATTAGAAAAATTCTGAATTTCGGACCGTTTCGTCGTTCTTTATAATCACGATATGATTGAATTGTTATGTACAAGCAAAATCCCTAACACCCAAATTTATTTCGAAAAAAAAAATGGAGAATTTTCTAGAATTCCGATAGATGGCGCCACCGTCGATAAGGAACCCTAAGGACTTTTTCCTTAAATTGCCCCCCCCCCCCATAATGAAAACAGACGTATCCATGTCAAAAATTGAACTTGTATCGAATTGCGCCCTCCCCAGCGATTATTATATATATTTTTCATCACTTGTGCGTAAAGTGAAAATCCCACTTTTCACACATTGTAATGAAAACATCGTTCGATACTCATGTGAAAAGTGTTTTTTGGCTCATGATAGCACGAGCCAAAGTCGAGTGATAAACCTCCCACGAGCCAAAAACACTTTTCCGCACTTGTATCTAAATATACTATATCAATATAGGTATATTAGAAAAATTCTGAATTTCGGACCGTTTCGTCGTTCTTTATAATCACGATATGATTGAATTGTTATGTACAAGCAAAATCCCTAACACCCAAATTTATTTCGAAAAAAAAATGGAGAATTTTCTAGAATTCCGATAGATGGCGCTATCGTCGATAAGGAACCCTAAGGACTTTTTCTTTAAATTGCCCCCCCCCCCATAATGAAAACAGACGTATCCATGTCAAAAATTGAACTTGTATCGAATTGCGCCCTCCCCAGCGATTATTATATATATTTTTCATCACTTGTGCGTAAAGTGAAAATCCCACTTTTCACACATTGTAATGAAAACATCGTTCGATACTCATGTGAAAAGTGTTTTTTGGCTCATGATAGCACGAGCCAAAGTCGAGTGATAAACCTCCCACGAGCCAAAAACACTTTTCCGCACTTGTATCTAAATATACTATATCAATATAGGTATATTAGAAAAATTCTGAATTTCGGGCCGTTTCGTCGTTCTTTATAATCACGATATGATTGAATTGTTATGTACAACCAAAATCCCTAACACCCAAATTTATTTCGAAAAAAAATGGAGAATTTTCTAGAATTCCGATAGATGGCGCCACCATCGATAAGGAACCCTAAGGACTTTTTCCTTAAATTGCCCCCCCCCCCCATAAGGAAAACAGACGTATCCACGTCAAAAATTGAACTTGTGTCCCAACGAATATTTCAAGGACCCAAAATTCCTCATTCTGTATTAGACCAATTTTCTTCACGTTGAATTGCGCCCTTTCCAGCGATTCACTCTTTTCCTATTCATTAAGAGCCACGGGGATGACCCTCGATCGATCTAGAAGAGCTGTCGTTGGATTGTTGACACCTAGCAGAGTCGTTGTCGTTGTTTCACTCACAGTTGATTCCCTCTTGCGATATGGGTTTGCTGGTTGCCAGAGCCTGGAATTTTTGCCGATAGACTAGTCATTGACACAGTGATGATATTCGTTTGTCGGAATATTTTATCGCGGGATTAAATGATGTGGAACTATTTTACCTCATGCTCTCGGTTCGAGATCGGGGCGACCAGTTTTTGTACTTTCGGTTGGTACCGATACTTCTGGCTGTATTCCAACGGGAGAAATGATGGCGCACTGTATTCTGGACTTCTGAGTTCAAGAAGCAGTAGAATAATGCCACTGATAGGCCCTGGAAAGTCATTTTTTTCAGTTCTGGTTTAGTTATGAATTGTTGATATTTTGAGGATTCTAAGGATTGAATCTCTGAGTCTCACACGCAGCGTGACACGATTTTTCATTTTCGGGGTAAAACCAATAGCTTCCTATCGGGAAGTGAATAACAAAAATTAACGATTGAACATACTTGAGAAGATAGGAGCACAGCTCGTGCGTACGCAAATACATGTGCCATTGGGCCCTCAGTTGGCCCAGTCAGCACAAGTATGTACGTGACCCCCAGCAATGGTATCAAAACAAGAAGGGCCTTGCTCGCCTTGCGATACTGCTGTGTCTCCACTGATGTTGCTGATCTCAGTTTTGTGATCAACACCCACATGATCATGAAGAGAAAAACAACATTGATTCCCAGGACAATGATAGCGGGCACCTGGTACAGCAGGTCGAAGGCATTATTCACCATCCACGGACAGTGTCTGTACAACGCGACATTCTGAAATGATAGTGTTGTACACGAGAATTCAAACAGAAAGTAAACATAATCTGGAATAGGGGAAAATTACTTGAATACTCTGATCCACGTTAATCGTCAATGATTTAGCTATTCCCCATACCACAACCACCAGCAAAGGAACACCTGTTGATGCAAAACCATATTTTCAGTCGTTAGTATTGAGACTTTTTCTCTGGAGAAATTTTCAGCTCACCCCATCCTATAACAAGGCACATTCGCAGCTTTATGTTGTCACCAGTGAAGGTTTTCACTACCAGCAGGTATAAATAAAGTCCTGTATCGAGGTCAAGGGATCAGGTTAATTGGAGAGTGTTAATTTAATCATGAGATGGGGCTAGCACTTTTGATCGATATCAGAGATGTTCAACTGTTATGCCCCAGATTTGGTCAATTGCGTTATTGTTGAATGTGTGGACATACAGCATTGTCGGCGTGACACTTGCCAGTGTAACTGGATTGTGCTGACCAAGTGGTGAAATATAAACAATCAATGTATTATTTAAGAGACGGCTGGGTCTGCACGGATCAGACCTGAATTGGACTCCGATGTGTACAAAAGTCGTAAACTCTTTGTAATCAGGCAGATGACTCAGGAATTATAATCAAGTAATAAATTCCATGCATCGACCCGTAAACTTGTCCCATCGGCCGGGGTCAATGCGTGGTATCGACCCTTTTCGTCAACAGTAAAAATCATTTTCTCGAATTCTAAGAGACATATTGACATTTGGAAAAGATCTGGAAAGGCAATGGAATTCTCTGCAGTGAACTATTTTATTTTATTTTTTTTCAATGCATTTATAATATTTTTTTCTATGAACAAAAGTTGTAGATGAAAATTTTACATCCAACCGATTCAATCATATTAAATCATCTCGTTTATCGACGAAATTTCCCCCATAAATTTTGAAATTTTTACTGAAAATACTTCAATGATCCTTCCTTCGAATGGCAGCAGTTAAATTTCGATTTGTTGAATAATTTGTTTGTTATAAATAAATTTAGCACGTTCGAAGATCTCGGCAACCAATTGTCGGTAAACATTGAAATTGGTGTCAAAAATTAGGAAATTCTCTAGGAGTTTATTTCAAAGTTCAATACATTTTTTTCGTTCGACTGTTTTCAAGTTATCGTTCATTGAATAACGGAGTTGACGCGCCGTAAGTCTTCCCGGCCGTTGGGACAGGCCGCGTTATATGGACCCGTACGTGAGGGGTTAAATGCCGATAAACCATTGGTGGGATTTATCTCTTCAAGCCTAGACCCTACTATAATTATAACTACCCCCACGCTGGGTTCAACACAACCACGACAAATACTTCTGCTCGTTACTTTTACCAATAATTCGCGAGCTATTGTGGGCGAGTGTAACTTCAACAAATGTTTTCTCATCCCTCTGCAGTCATCTCTGTCTTACCAACTGCATCAGCCCCATCCCATCGTGATCAAACAAAATGGAAACAAACAAAATTTGATCAACTCTGTTGTGTAATTCCTCATATTATTAAGTGAGAGGGGATTGAAATAATTCATTACCCTCCACGAACATCCAGAAGAAATTCGTCAGGTGGAAGTAATGAAGTAGAGCGAAGAATACGACGCAGGTGGGAATGTCCGTTTGCATTGAGACCTGATGAAGAAAGAATAGTTTGTGATTTTGAAACTGGATTGTCTGGAACGTGGATTTTCGTTACGCACCTGCATGACTGTCGTCAGTATCCACATGAGGTCGGCAAGCATGTACGTAAACATGAGATTCGTGTGGATGCTATTCCTCAAGCATTTCAATTCTCTAGAAGAAAAATAGAAGAAGGGATTGAATAAAATATCTTGAGTGGAGGGTAGACTCAATGTGAAGAGTCGCGACCGATTTCCTATCGATTGCACTCCAAACATGTGCATTTTACCCAGCGGTGGGTGGAGGGCAAAATCAGTGTGTCATTCATGTTTCGGGTTTTTTAGTTTTTAATCACAATTTTGAAGAGGCCGAGGCCGAGGATGTCTTCATGTGGGTCTCACCCGTCGGACGGGTCGCACCAACAACTTCCCGATATTATTATTCCTCCCATTTTGACTAAAAGAATCCTTTTCAACTCTCAATACTCTGTCTATTTGTTCGTGAGAAAAATCCTTGTCTTCATTATAATCGTTCTATATGTGATTTTCATGAGATTAAGAAAGTGTTCGTTGCTTTTTTGTCATTTTGAAATTTTCTTTCCGGTAAAACTCAAAAACCAATAAACAGATATCAGCCAAAATCTAAACCGCTCTAAGTTGAATGAAAACCTATCGATTGAAAAAAAAAAAGTCAAATCGGACAATTCGTTCACGAGAAATCGTTAACCAAAATTTTGACCACGTACATACCTAGGAACACACACACACAGACAGACATTTTGTTTAAAATTATCTAGGAACATCGAAAAGGCCTTGAAACATGGAGATTTGATGAAAAATCGATTTTTGATTTTCGGGGCCATTACAATAACTTCCCTGCCGGGAAGTTAAAAGCGTTTTAGGAAATTTTCACCGAAATCTCTAGGAAGTTACCAGCAACGGAGACATTGGAATTCTCGGTTTTTTTTCGTATATGAAAAAAACGAGATGTTTCTAATATCTGAAAAATATTTTTTTGAGACAAGTAATTTGTAACGAGATTTTCGTATTGAGACAAGTAATTTTTCATCAATTGTTAAATTCTCCCAGGCAATCAACTCACGTCGCCCGAGAAAGGTCTCATGCTTTAAAATATTCTTGTACTTATTGATTTTGTCGAAAATGAACTCAATCAAACGCGTGGAGGAATCGTCAATCTTAAAGTATTTATTGGTTTCGTGATTTTTTTGTTATGCAGTTGCAATATTTCTATTCAATTCGATTCTTTCAAGTAAATATGGTCTGCATATTAGAAAATTTTTCTCTCAGTGTATTTTTATGGTTTTTATTTTGTTCTAAGGACTCACTTGAAGTGTAAAAATATTGCGACAGCCACGATGAGGGTCGACAATGACAGTGTGTAACCAACGAAGTACAGGGTCGTTGTTATTTCCACTCCGGACTCGATAATATTCATTTTCAGCTCCTGGCATTGTGAGTAGTTTGTGTACCTGTCCCAAGTGCCATTTGGCCAACACCATCTGCTTGCATTCTCTGGGGAAAAGAGTCAGAACGAGGTTTTAATTGACTTCACTTGTTGTTAGAATGTCGTCATCGTGGAAGCTAAAAATTAAAAAAAAAAAAAAAAAGAAAAAAAAACTTGACGACTTTGATTAGGAAAGATGAACCGTCTCTGTGAAATTCAATTATTCTCCGGACAGTTGGGGAGATTTAAGGATGTTTATCCAAAATCTCAAGTACTTGAAAAAATTGATTTTTTTTTTAAACTGAGAGATGAAGATATTCCCTTCACTTTGATAGAAATGAAATAGACAAAATGCACCAAATGAATTCGCTAACGTGCGCTTATGTGGGATAGAATCATTCAAATATTTCCTCATTTTGTCCGGATACCCCAGATTTTTCTCTGGCCATTGGATTCAGTATGATTTTACACATTACCTTCTATTTTTATTTTTATTTTTAGAGTTTTCTAGTAGGTGAATTATCAATTTGAACGTAAATTTCATAAGAGCCCGTGTATAAGGAAAAATTAGTTTATTCATTTCTGCCGAGACTATTGCGATTAATTTTTTTTAACGTTAGAAAAGTTCATTTTATGTTTTGCTGTCAGCCGAAAAAATAACAGAATTTTCCTTGACCATGAAAAAAAAAACACATTTACCGATAATTTACCGACACTGGCTAAACATCCTTAAATGTCCAGGAATTTTTCTCGTCCGTTCTGGCGGCATTTTTTCTCCTTTCGGGCTTTGATTGTGTGACAAATGCTGCCGTTTTAATGCTCGAAAGATCCGAAGTTGAATAATAAACAGGGGACATTGAGGGGAAATTCAAGTCCTATTCATCTTTTTATTTTTCTACCTCCTCTTTACAAAGAGCTATAAGTTTTTCACCTGCGGCAGGCAATTTGCCGAGCTACGATCGCTTCCAGTCAACTCCTACATCATCATTCAAGATATCCCGAGAGATAATGTCGTTAATTCAACACTCATCAATCAACGGACAGGATATTAACAAAATTTCTAATCAACTAATTTTCGAATTTAATTTCAATCTCGTGGGTCTGATATTCATCGGGTGCTGTTTATTCGGGCTCGAGGCACGAAGAAAATAATATCGAAATTCCCGTGAGACGGTAATTGAAAGTTTGAGCGACAGCTTCGCGATTGAATTTCTCTCGCTTCCATATTTGTTGACAATTTTTTTTTCCTCGGTTACTGAATGAAAATGGGGGAGATTGTGTCATGGCAAACAATTGAAGGAGAAGAATTGCAAAAAATGTATATTTTTATAGAATATTTACCCTTCAAAAAAGCCAGAAATAATGAGTTGTGTATTTTTTTAAATTCAATTTGATAGTGAAGTGGTAAACGGAAATATGTCGACTTATATCCCAGTTGAGTTTTTGAGAAATATTTCCAAATCTAAGGGAGGTAGCGAAATTTTCGTAATTACATTTGTTGTAGCACTCAATTGGCTCCACAAAAAAGGTTATAACAAACATTTTGCTAGCTCCGTTAGATTCCGAGATAATCATTGAAAACTGGTCAATAGTCAAAATTGACTCATCTCCTTTTACCACTTCGCTACTGAATTGAATTCATTAATTTATTTCAATCAATTTATCAATTAATTTATTTTAATTGGAAATTTTTGTCATTTGCCGTCAGATTCTCCGATAATGTCCGTCAATAACGTCTTTCCCATTTCTAATTTAGCTCTGTCTGGTGACATTTTCTGGTCAGTGGTGAGATGAGAATTCTATTTTCTCCGCTTTCAATTATTTTCTCTGGTTTCTAGTAATTAAAATTAACAGTATGGGGGCTCGAGGGAGTGCACTATCGCATTCACCACAGACAGAAACGGTGAGAGAAGTGTAATCCTCCTATCGTAAAAAGGAGAAAAGAAATCGATCTCGAAACATCTCGAAAATCTCGAATAAGCGTAAGCGTAAGACTGAAACCGAAGCGCCACTACGTGAGGAGATGAGAAGGCGGCCGATCTCGTGGAAAAAGTGAAAACAGAAAAAAAAATTTTTTTCACCGGGGGCCAAAGTGTCAGATCTTAGATTTTTTCAGGGGGAAAGTCGGCCAAAGGGTCACAAGGGCCAAAGTGACAGATCTTGGATTTTTCCAGGGGGAAAGTCGACTTTCGCCAAAATCGAATTTTTTAGCCGGGTGAACGTTAATTCCAACTATTTAAGCGATGGGCTGTTCAGAACTCTCAAAAATATGTGGAAAAAGTGTAAACTGAGAAAGTTTTTTTTTTACGATTTTCAAAGGGTCAGATTTTCCGTTTTTCCAGGGGGAAAGTCGACTTTCGCCAAAATCGAATTTTTTAGCCGGGTGAACGTTGATTCCAACTATTTAAGCGATGGGCTGTTCAGAACTCTCAAAAATATGTGGAAAAAGTGTAAACTGAGAAAGTTTTTTTTTTACGATTTTCAAAGGGTCAGATTTTCCGTTTTTCCAGAGGGAAAGTGTTTCAGTAGAGGAAATAATCTAGTTGTAATTGAGTGTTTTCCTTGATATAGTGCTCCGTGATTGAATACATCTCGACCATTAGGATTGATTAGTCTCCCCACTGGGGGGAAATCTCGGGGTCTCTCGCTGAAAGTAAACGCTGTTAACTCATTTCATTGTACCCCCTAAACGAGTTACACCCGCGCTCTTCGTTTCCCCCCGTGACATAAAATTGAGAGAAAATTTTACGTTGAATTTTTGGCTTCATCGAGTCTCACGCTCTCTCCCTCTTCCATTTGCCGTTTGTTGTTGATAATTTTTCGGCCTCCGCTGGGGAGGGCACAAACTACTCGCTTGGATAATTAATTATGTTAGAGGGACTAAATCGCTCAGTAGTCGGGCTAGTTAATGGCAATTACGTAGCTTCGTGCTGTTAACGTTACACTTGGGTACAAACGCGTGCGTCGGGGAGTGAATCTTGAGGAAAGTATCAAACGCGGACGAAACGGAAGTGGAAAAATCGAATGGGCAATTGAATATTATTAAAGTTTCCAAGTTTTATTGTTGCAAGTGATGCCTGATCGATGCAATGTGCGTTCAACCATAATTCACAAACTATAATGTAGGATTTATGACAGTAACTTTATTAAAGAATATAACAGTTTATTTGAATAAATAATAACAAATAAACAATCTGTTAGTTTTCTTAAAGAATGTGACAGTTTATTTTAAAAAAAAATATTTTAATACATTGACAACGCAAAACCCACGCTCTTCGTACTACGACTCTTCTCGAAATTTGTCGATCTACTGACTCATTCGCACTCATACTCATCCTTAAGGGGTAACGGAAGCGGTCGCAAAAGTTGATTTTTTTTTTATTTCATTTTTCTCCGATTCTATCCAATATGAATGGCTGAAATTTTCACCAAGTATTGAGGGGAGGTTGAGGAAGGGTTTAACGGGTTCCATTGACTATTTATTGGCAAGAAAAAATTGCAGAATTTTTTTTATTGGCAAAAAAAATTCTGCAATTTTTTTTGACGAATATCTGGCCAGTTTTTGACGAATATCTGGGAATCTAAAAGAGATAGAAAAATTTTTGTCACGACCTTTTTTGTAGAGCCAACTGAGGGTTATAAAAAAGGTAATGAGCAAAATTTTGCTATCTCTCTTAGATTCCGAAATATTTGTCAAAAAATGGCCAAAAGTCAAAATCGACTTAAACCGGTTTACCGCTTTGCTACTGAACTATTATTGGCAAAAAAAAATCTGCAAATTGTTTAGCCGATAAACACGACAATTATTTGCAAAAAAAATTTCTGCAATTTTTTTTGCCAATACAAAATTTTCTGAAAAAAACCGATAAATGTTAAGAACGACAGCCCCACATGAATATCATTTATCACCTCTAATAATCGACAAGTGAAGGAATTTTAAGTGTTTTCGTCTGTGAGCGATGTTCCATCTAAGTATAAAAAAAGTCCTAAAGTCTGACCTTCGACTTGATTGTAAAGACAAAAGTACCGGGGAATAAATCCCTTAACGAGTTTATCCTTCTAGGGCACATCCCTAGCGTCTTATCGGGCGATATTGTGACTGTTATGACCTCCATCAACGGTCTATTTTTATCGCAACGGACCCTCTGTTGAATCGTAATGTCTCACCAGCGGTTCTTCGATATTACTTGGTGTAATGATCGGCAATTAATGTCATTAATTGATGGGAAGATGTCAATCGAGTTTACGACCTTTGAAATCAATATTTATCATTGAACATGCTCAAGCACATTCAGTGGAAAAATTTATTCAGATAAAAAATAAGACTGAATATTTCAATGAAATACATTTGACATTTAATTAAGCACAACTGCGGGGCAGAATCCCAGGATATTGACCACATACTATGGCAACGTCCCCTTCTGAATCCGCAGAGATTAAAACTAACAGCCAAACTGAGATCTGAAATACTTTTCTCCGTATTGGACTTTCCAGTTCATGGTGGCAACCGACTTCGAAGCTCTCACAGCGATAGACAAATTCTTCGCAAAATGTAAGCTCCGCATATAAAAGGCGGAAATGTGCCTTTAATAAAAATCCAATGTAACGTTTTTTGAAGCCAATCTATTCCGCCTAACGTGTTCTTTCTTTAGCGTTATACTATCATATAATATATTATAATGTATTATATATAATGTACTTCTATTTACTAAAGATGAAAGAAACGTGAAGTTGTTTTATATCGAGATATCTCGAAACTGCCTGACCGCTAATCCTTAATTCTGATTGGTCAATATGTGACACGAAGTTATTCACAAAAAAAACACGTGGCATTTTCAAATTCTTCAGTGGTAATTTTTTTTTTCACGTCATATATATATATATTTTACATGTATATATATATCATGNACATCTGTATCTCGGTTCTACCAATTCCTGAGGGACGTGAGGTAGAAAATACGGGCGCGCTCTAATCTAGTTAAAAGAACAGTGTATGATCAATTTAAAAAATGAGTATAACAAAGTGCATCAACTGTTTTTTACCTTCGGAGAATAATTTAGATTTTTCATAATAAATTAAATGNTTCAATCATTAGTCGAATTCTCTTTGATTCATTATCAATATTTATAAGGTATTCATGAGAAAATGAAATTCAATAAATTCCATTTCTTCATTTCAACAAATGAATAGATCAGCGCGCGCGAGAGTGCGCGCATAGATCTTGTATTAATACCATAATATATGTAGTATAAATATTATATTATATTATATATACATACTAAACTAAATAGAAAAAAGAATTAAATTTCAGTATTCTAAATTGCCGAATTTTCACCACTTTTTTTAAAAACAAATAATTCACAATCGTGCCTCAACTCATGATGATTTTGTTTTGGTTTTTCAACTACAAAGAATAATTTGGATTTTTCATAATAAATAAAATCCCTGTTCGACCGAAGCTTAATATTGCCACTTCATCACGAATGATCTCAAATTTGAATTGAAAATGATAATGTATACCTGATACTCATTCCCTTGATAATTGAAAAACCGAAAAAACCCGTTGGTTCTTCGAGAGTTTGGCAAATTTTCTGTCTTCAAAATTTCTTATCTCAAAATCGCAATTGTGTTTTTTCACTCGATTCGTGTGTGAACGTGGATAATCCAAATACCAATGATTCTTATGGAGTGAATATACTTTGGAAGAGCCTAATGTACTTCAACATAATCTCTACCACAATCATATTAACTTTTAATATCAGTGGAAATCCATCGAGAACATCTGTATCTCGGTTCTACCAATTCCTGAGGGACGTGAGGTAGAAAATACGGGCGCGCTCTAATCTAGTTAAAAGAACAGTGTATGATCAATTTAAAAAATGAGTATAACAAAGTGCATCAACTGTTTTTTACCTTCGGAGAATAATTTAGATTTTTCATAATAAATAAAATCCCTGTTCGACCGAAGCTTAATATTGCCACTTCATCACGAATGATCTCAAATTTGAATTGAAAATGATAATGTATACCTGATACTCATTCCCTTGGTAATTGAAAAACCGAAAAAACCCGTTGGTTCTTCGAGAGTTTGGCAAATTTTCTGTCTTCAAAATTTCTTATCTCAAAATCGCAATTGTGTTTTTTCACTCGATTCGTGTGTGAACGTGGATAATCCAAATACCAATGATTCTTATGGAGTGAATATACTTTGGAAGAGCCTAATGTACTTCAACATAATCTCTACCACAATCATATTAACTTTTAATATCAGTGGAAATCCATCGAAAACATCTGTATCTCGGTTCTACCAATTCCTGAGGGACGTGAGGTAGAAAATACGGGCGCGCTCTAATCTAGTTAAAAGAACAGTGTATGATCAATTTAAAAAATGAGTATAACAAAGTGCATCAACTGTTTTTTACCTTCGGAGAATAATTTAGATTTTTCATAATAAATAAAATCCCTGTTCGACCGAAGCTTAATATTGCCACTTCATCACGAATGATCTCAAATTTGAATTGAAAATGATAATGTATACCTGATACTCATTCCCTTGGTAATTGAAAAACCGAAAAAACCCGTTGGTTCTTCGAGAGTTTGGCAAATTTTCTGTCTTCAAAATTTCTTATCTCCAAATCGCAATTGTGTTTTTTCACTCGATTCGTGTGTGAACGTGGATAATCCAAATACCAATGATTCTTATGGAGTGAATATACTTTGGAAGACCCTAATGGACTTCAACATAATCTCTACCACAATCATATTAACTTTTAATATCAGTGGAAATCCATCGAGAACATCTGTATCTCGGTTCTAGCAATTGCTGAGGGACGTGAGGTAGAGAATATGCGCGCGGTCTAATCTAGTATTATAAAAGAACAGTGTATGATCAATTTAAAAAATGGGTACAACAAAGTGCATCAACTCACGTGAACTGTCGTACTGAATGCCGTGAAGTTCCTCAAAGCACGATTGTTTCACCAAAGTCCCCGAGGCTGAGGCAGGCCAGCAGAGCAAAGAGTCCCAGTCAAACTCGCAGACGTTCTCACTCACCCCTTCGTCAAGTTGATGAAAGTGTTTAGCTTGAAAGCACTCGAAGGCCTTCATCAGGAGTGAGTCGTTCAGTTCGTTAATGTGATTCAATGTGTTGAAAATGTAGTTCTCGTCGAGTTCATCACTTTGATTCGCCGAATTTCCCGCCATTACTTATCCAACTTTTTGGTCTACCAGTTGTTTGTTTCCCTCCCTGTGAATTGTGCGAGATGGGGCGGTTTTCGGGGGGTTCCACCTCTCGCGAGTGCGGACCAACGACTGCTTCTATGCCGGAGCCTTTATTTTCCTGGCTATGTAGTCGGGTGTCCTGCTCGCGCCGTCTCAATATATCTCCTCAACCTTGTGAACCTTTAATTAATGAGGATTTTATTCTTGTTACTCTCTAGGAATTCTGAGGGTCACGAGGGTCGGCAGACCTATTCAAATTAATTCAGTAGTGAAGTGGAAGTCGATTTTGACTACTGCCCAGTTTTCAATGGATATCTCAAAATCTATGGGAAATAGGAAAATTTTTGTCATAAACTTTTTTGTAGAGCAAATTGAGAGCTACAAAAAAGAAAATTATAAAAATTTCGCTATTTCCATTAGATTTCGAAATATTTATTGAAAACTGGCCAATAGTCAAAATCTACTTATAGCGGTTTACTACTTCGCTACTGAATTATCTAAATTTTTTAGGGATGAAAATTCAGTGGTGAAGGGTCAAACGGCTTAAGGCAATTCCATTCTAACGCCAGTTCTCGATGAATATCTCAAATTCTAAAGGAGTTGGCGAATTTTTCCTAAAAATATTTCTTAAAAATTTTATTACAAAAATTAAAACGCTATTTTTACATTTAACAAGAACTCAACTGGGAGCTCAGTCGACCTAAACCGATTGACCACTTCACTACTGAATTGTTCATATTATTATTTTCATATTTATTTTAGTAGTAAAGTGGTAAAACGGTGCAACTCAACTTTGACTATTGACCAGTTTTCAATGAATATCTCGGATTTTAAGAGAGATACCAAAATTTTTGTTATAACCTTTTTTGTAGAGCCGATTGAGAGCTACAACAAATGCCATTACGAAAATTTCGATATCTCCCTTAGATTCGGAAATATTTCTCAAAAATTCGATTGATAAGTCGACTTAAACCGTTTTATCATTTCGCTACTGATTTTATTCTTCACTTTCCACTTGTCTTTTTGAGAAAAAGGGGCTGTAATTCGGATTATTGATTGGTAATTGACGACTAGTGGTTGTAAAACATCAATTCGACATCTTCAGACTTTTATAAGGGTTTTATGGGATTTTTTTATGAGGGGAACAAATATTGCCGTGAATATCAATATCCATGGGACTTTCTATGTATTTGCCTAGTCGTTTGATTTCGTTGAAAGCTCCGCGAGGGTTTAATAGCCCCAGCCGTTTTTTTATAGGAAAAAGGATAGTTTTATACTGTTTTATACCAGATTATACTGCATAGTAACTAGAGTAATCCTAATCCTCAGCGATTTTTATAACCGAAATTTGGTAATGAATTCATGAAAATTAGAGATGCGTCCCCGAAAACAAGAAATGTCTTGCTTTTATTTTCCTGGAGAGGAGTTTTTCATGTTTGAGAAGTTGACAAATGAAAAAAATCATAAAAATTCCCCGATTTTAAGGAAGATTAGACGTTTTCCCTCAATAATTCAGTAACGAAGTGGTAAAACGGTTTAAGTTGACTCATCTCCCAGTCGAGTCTTTGATGAATATTTCCGAATCTAAGGGAGATAGCGAGATTTTTGTTACAACCTTTTTTGTAGAGCCGATTGAGAGCTACAACAAATGTAGTTACGAAAATTTCGCCATCTCCCTTAGATTCGGAAATATTCCTCAAAAATTCAAGTCGGAGATAAGTCAACTACACTGGTTTACCACTTCGCTACTGAATTGTTTTTTAAAAATATAAAGAAAGTGTGATTTTATGAATAATGAGTCATCCTTTGAAGTGTAGAGGGAATCTTGTTCGGTATTAAACGGATTCGAGCTTTCTCGCTCGTTCACTGTGTAAAAAAGAGACTCTCGGGTATGAAAACTGCAAACCCCCGGGGTATTACTCTCTAAGGGGAACCGTTACCGGTTTATAATACAGTAGTTATTGGATTCCAAATCCATTTGAGAAGAGCTTATCGTAGCGCTTCTTTCAGCCTTCTCTCAGAGTTTTCATCATCAATCTCATCTCTCACCGCTACCCGATTAAGACGTCGATACACCGGTATCGATGATTGAGCAATCCAGTTTTATTTCAGTTGTTGGAAAATTACTTGGAGTTGTAATTTATTATTTTTAAAAATTACGACCTTTGTTAACAACAATTTTTTAAGTACAAAAAAACAAGCTTTCAATTTCAGAGAAATTTAACAGTAAATATTGAAAAATAAATCATTCAAATTATTTTTATTCTTGTTAATTTTCCATTAAATTTTAACACAGATTTTTCCGAAAATGATACCTTTCTCTATCGGATAAAAAAAAGCGGGAAAAAATTATTTGAAACTAAAAAAATTGTTCTTTACATTTTAATTATTGCGGAAACTACATTAAATTAACAATTTATTCATTTGAAAAATTCAAAAAGTTTCTTTATTCCGAACAAATTTGAAAAAAAATCATTAAAATTATTATAAATTGAAGAAAAAAAGATTTTTATATTTTAATAATAGCAAAAAAAATCCGAGGGGTTGTGCAGACGGACTGAAATCTTCACGTCAATGATAAACAATCAGTACCGATAATCAAAAGGGGTGTTAGTGAGCGGGTGATCACAGCGAGACTAACGATATGGATTTTCGCGTTGAACCTGGATGATTTTCCTTTTCTCGTGCTATGCCTGCCAGCCAGGACACGAAGCATGCGCCAGCCTCGAGACTAACAGGAAACTGCCGCTGTTTCCCTCATATCGGGAGGGTACAGTCGCGTACCTTTGATACGACTGTATCCTCAGTCGCCCCTCCCTCGCGCAATCCTTTCTACATATCTACGCCTGCGTCATATCTCTCGCTTTTCAATTACGAGATCGAACGCGCGCTACAGCGCGCTGTAATTCAGTAGCGAAGCGGTAAACCGGGTTAAGTCGATTTTGACTTTTGCCAATTTTTTGACAAATATCTCGGAATATAAGAGAGATAGCAAAATTTTTCTCATTACCTTTTTCATAACCCTCAATTGACTCTACAGAAAAGGTAATGACAAAAATTTTTCTATCTCTTTTAGATTCCCAGATATTCGTCAAAAACTGGCCGATAGTCAAAATCGACTTAACCCGGTTTACCGCTTCGCTACTGAATTGTAACAATCATAATTGAAAATCTCAAAATTAAATTAATCATGAATTAAATTTGCCGCCTCAGACGACTGGAATCAATGAGGAATAAGCGTGACAGACTTGCGAGATATCGATAGCTATCGACTTTAACCCTAGACTAGACTGGTCACCATGCGAGGGAATTGCCGCAACACGTCGTTTTATTCACCTTGGCATCGACTGGTTGACTGGAAAAATTTGAGAAAAATTGAATTCGTCAATTAAAGTATCTGGAAAATTCTAGTATTTTTTTTGAAATATTGTATCCTTAATTCTGGGAGAAAAAAAATTATTTCCAACGGGTGAACAATTTTTTCACGTGTTAAATGAAATTGCCTGTTGCGCGACGTTGCTGGGAACTCGCTAAACGCGCCCGGCAAGTGTAGAGTGGATTCGGCAACGCTGGACCCTTAATAACACGGCGGCACTCTCCTGCGAAGGTGACTAAAGTCGCTTTTCCCGTCAGGTGACCAGAGTAGGGTTAAGTGAGATCCGATCAATTAGCCCCTCATGTATAGATATTCCAAATTTTTATTTTTCTTGATATTCAAAATTTTTATTGTTTTCGAAGAAAATTGCGAGTTAATAAAAAAAATTTGCTAGTTAGTACTTTTTTTAAAATAAATTTTTGAAAAATCACCCCTGAAAAAAAAGGCGTTATCCCCCCTATTTCATTATTTCCAACAAATTTTATCACCAATCGGTAGCAAATTGTTTGAAGATTTTTGCGAGTTAAGACAAAAATCGTCAATGCACTCCTATTATTGTGTAAATTAACAATTCCAATTTCAACTGAAAATCAGAGTTGATGACCAGAATTTGTAGCAGAGATGTCAGACAAGATATGAATGTTTTTTTT